AGTGGGCTCATGGGCTGGAGTGGACTCTGGAGTGGGCACATGGTCTGGAGTAGGTGGAGTGGGCTCATGGGCCGGAGCAGACTCTGGAGTGGGCTCATGGTCTGGAGTAGGTGGAGTGGGCTCATGAGCTGGAGTGGGCACATGGTCTGAAGTAGGTGGAGTGGGCTCATGGGCTGGAGTGGACTCTGGAGTGGGCTCATGGTCTGGAGTAGGTGGAGTGGGCTCATGGTCTGGAGTAGGTGGAGTGGGCTCATGGTCTGGAGTGGACTCTGGAGTGGGCACATGGGCCGGAGTGGACTCTGGAGTGGGCACATGGTCTGGAGTAGGTGGAGTGGGTTCACGGGCTGGAGTGGACTCTGGAGTGGGCACATGGGCCGGAGTGGACTCTGTAGTGGGCTCATGGTCTGGAGTAGGTGGAGTGGCCTCATGGGCTGGAGTGGATTCTGGAGTGGGCACATGGGCCGGAGTGGACTCTGGAGTGGGCACATGGGCCGGAGTGGACTCTGGAGTGGGCACATGGTCTGGAGTAGGTGGAGTGGGCTCACGGGCTGGAGTGGACTCTGGAGTGGGCACATGGGCCGGAGTGGACTCTGTAGTGGGCTCATGGTCTGGAGTAGGTGGAGTGGGCTCATGGGCTGGAGTGGATTCTGGAGTGGGCACATGGGCCGGAGTGGACTCTGGAGTGGGCACATGGGCCGGAGTGGACTCTGGAGTGGGCTCATGGTCTGGAGTAGGTGGAGTGGGCTCATGGGCTGGAGTGGACTCTGGAGTGGGCACATGGTCTGGAGTAGGTGGAGTGGGCTCATGGGCTGGAGTGGACTCTGGAGTGGGCACATGGTCTGGAGTAGGTGGAGTGGGCTCATGGGCCGGAGTAGACTCTGGAGTGGGCTCATAGTCTGGAGTAGGTGGAGTGGGCTCATGAGCTGGAGTGGGCACATGGTCTGAAGTAGGTGGAGTGGGCTCATGGGCTGGAGTGGACTCTGGAGTGGGCTCATGGTCTGGAGTAGGTGGAGTGGGCTCATGGTCTGGAGTAGGTGGAGTGGGCTCATGGTCTGGAGTGGACTCTGGAGTGGGCACATGGGCCGGAGTGGACTCTGGAGTGGGCACATGGTCTGGAGTAGGTGGAGTGGGCTCATGGGCTGGAGTGGACTCTGGAGTGGGCACATGGTCTGGAGTAGGTGGAGTGGGCTCATGGGCTGGAGTGGACTCTGGAGTGGGCACATGGTCTGGAGTAGGTGGAGTGGGCACATGGGCCGGAGTGTACTCTGTAGTGGGCTCATGGTCTGGAGTAGGTGGAGTGGGCTCATGGGCTGGAGTGGATTCTGGAGTGGGCACATGGGCCGGAGTGGACTCTGGAGTGGGCACATGGGCCGGAGTGGACTCTGGAGTGGGCTCATGGTCTGGAGTAGGTGGAGTGGGCTCATGGGCTGGAGAGGACTCTGGAGTGGGCACATGGTCTGGAGTAGGTGGAGTGGGCTCATGGGCTGGAGTGGACTCTGGAGTGGGCACATGGTCTGGAGTAGGTGGAGTGGGCTCATGGGCCGGAGCAGACTCTGGAGTGGGCTCATGGTCTGGAGTAGGTTGAGTGGGCTCATGAGCTGGAGTGGGCACATGGTCTGAAGTAGGTGGAGTGGGCTCATGGGCTGGAGTGGACTCTGGAGTGGGCTCATGGTCTGGAGTAGGTGGAGTGGGCTCATGGTCTGGAGTAGGTGGAGTGGGCTCATGGTCTGGAGTGGACTCTGGAGTGGGCACATGGGCCGGAGTGGACTCTGGAGTGGGCACATGGTCTGGAGTAGGTGGAGTGGGTTCACGGGCTGGAGTGGACTCTGGAGTGGGCACATGGGCCGGAGTGGACTCTGTAGTGGGCTCATGGTCTGGAGTAGGTGGAGTGGCCTCATGGGCTGGAGTGGATTCTGGAGTGGGCACATGGGCCGGAGTGGACTCTGGAGTGGGCACATGGGCCGGAGTGGACTCTGTAGTGGGCTCATGGTCTGGAGTAGGTGGAGTGGGCTCATGGGCTGGAGTGGATTCTGGAGTGGGCACATGGGCCGGAGTGGACTCTGGAGTGGGCACATGGGCCGGAGTGGACTCTGGAGTGGGCTCATGGTCTGGAGTAGGTGGAGTGGGCTCATGGGCTGGAGTGGACTCTGGAGTGGGCACATGGTCTGGAGTAGGTGGAGTGGGCTCATGGGCTGGAGTGGACTCTGGAGTGGGCACATGGTCTGGAGTAGGTGGAGTGGGCTCATGGGCCGGAGTAGACTCTGGAGTGGGCTCATAGTCTGGAGTAGGTGGAGTGGGCTCATGAGCTGGAGTGGACTCTGGAGTGGGCTCATGGTCTGGAGTAGGTGGAGTGGGCTCATGGGCCGGAGTGGACTCTGGAGTGGGCTCATGGTCTGGAGTAGGTGGAGTGGGCTCATGGGCTGGAGTGGACTCTGGAGTGGGCACATGGTCTGGAGTAGGTGGAGTGGGCTCATGGGCTGGAGTGGACTCTGGAGTGGGCACATGGTCTGGAGTAGGTGGAGTGGGCTCATGGGCCGGAGTAGACTCTGGAGTGGGCTCATAGTCTGGAGTAGGTGGAGTGGGCTCATGAGCTGGAGTGGACTCTGGAGTGGGCTCATGGTCTGGAGTAGGTGGAGTGGGCTCATGGGCCGGAGTGGACTCTGGAGTGGGCTCATGGTCTGGAGTAGGTGGAGTGGGCTCATGGGCTGGAGTGGACTCTGGAGTGGGCACATGGTCTGGAGTAGGTGGAGTGGGCTTATGGGCTGGAGTGGACTCTGGAGTGGGCACATGGTCTGGAGTAGGTGGAGTGGGCTCATGGGCCGGAGTAGACTCTGGAGTGGGCTCATAGTCTGGAGTAGGTGGAGTGGGCTCATGAGCTGGAGTGGACTCTGGAGTGGGCACATGGACTGGAATAGGTGGAGTGGACTCTGGAGTGGGCTCACGAGCTGGAGTGTACTCTGGAGTGGGCTCATGGGCTGGAGTGGACTCTGTAGTGGGCACATGGTCTGGAGTAGGTGGAGTGGGCTCATGGGCCGGAGTGGACTCTGGAGTGAGCATGAAAACTGCATGTATAATAATTGTTTAAGAACTGTTATAGTTGTAGATGTATCTCATAATCACAATGATCACTCAGCATCATCGTTGACTTCACTATTGCAAATGACTGTAATAAAAATAGGCATCAAAAGACATTATTAATTTATATACGTATATACTGAGCATAAAACCTTTTATACATGGATGGATGGATGTAATTGCAGTCTCATGAAATAATATAGAATGATAGAGATGGTGTATACAGTCATCCAGACATTAACAAAAAATAAAGCCCTTCAGGGAGATCAAAGATCCCAAACACTCTGTCAGTGTTTTAATTATCATGTTATCCCTTATTTATTTGACCACAGGATCCTGCCAATCAATCACAATCAGGTATTCCAGACAGCCGTGCAATAATATCGCAAAAAACGGCTCCAGTGAGAATGAGCCATGTTAAGAGCATTACATAAGCAGGAGTCAAGACAGATCTGTGGGTGTGGATCACAGGAGTGAGAGAGAGAGAGAGAGATGAGTGAAATGGTGCGGATGCTATTAATGCAGTTTTAATCTGCATTTTAAGCCCTCTAAGCAGATTAAAGCAGTTTCACTTCATCCACTGCAGCACGTCAGGCCCACAAAATGTTCCTTTAACTTTCATCATGTAATGCAGCTTCATCTGACCTCAAATCAGCTTAGCTATCAATATTCGGCTCTGTCAGATGAAAAATGTGGGTGAGGAGAAGGGCACCACACACACACACACACACACACACACACACACACACGCTTCTCATCCTCGCTCTCAGGATCCGACAGCACTGCAGCACAGCGCGTTACAGTTCAGGTTTAAAAATATCTCAGCAGCCTCATTCAAATTTAGCTCCTCCTGAATGTCCACATGTTTCTCTCGGGAGATTTTCTTGATGGTTCGAGGGTTTTATGTTGCGAGATGCTCTTATGATACAAGTTACATTTTTCAAGGATGGGAATGGTTCATGTCAAATAGGTAATGAGGTTTCATTTTCTTGTGTGCGAGCATTGTAGATGTGGATGTACAGTAGTAAGATGACTAAGATGGGTGGAGTTATAATACTCAACTGCACCCTAACCCTGCCCAATCCAACCCTACCCTACTCTATCCCTCCAACATTAAACGTCCAGAGAGGTGGAGCTGGATGTCATGTGACTCTGCAGGGAGCACCTCTTGATTCGACGGGGTGTCAATGACTGACACTAGGGGTCAAACTTGGGACCCTAAATCACATCTGATACTTTGAGAAAAGGCAAATGAAAATTGGCAAGTGGATTTGCTTCCCCCAGACATGCGAGTAAAAACAGGAGATGGTGTGCATCCACTCATTCAGATTTAAAACAAACATATTAGGTCCTTTTTAATCTAAGTAAATTCCCAACTTTGTTTAAAAAACAATGAGAAATGAACAGAAAACAACAGTATGAAAGTCACCCCATCAAGCAAGGATTTAAAGTCCCCCTGTGTTAAAAATCCAGCTTTTAATGTAGTTTATATGTCTATGTGGTGTTTTTAATATGCTTTATGACAAACCATGTGTAAGTTCATAAGTCGACAGCATTGCTGAGTATTTTCTGCTTAAAACTGCAGTGAACCAAAGACAGTCTCAAAAACATGGTTTGAAATCGCTGGTGTTTCTGACGTCACAAACGACCTTGTAACCAATCAGATCAACGTGTGATCGTCAACCAGTGGATCTCTGAGCTGAGTGAGTGAGTGGAGGCGGGGCTCATTTGCATATTCATAGAACCGGGTATACTAAATGAGGCAAGGGTGTTGAGTTACATTCAAGCTACGTTAAGGCATGAAGAATTTTTTTTCAAGGAAAAAACGTTTAAATATGTTATTTTTGTGATCAAAGGTGATTTACTACAGGAGGACTTTAAGTCTAGTATTATTTATCTAATTAAATGGTGTTATCAAGGTCTACCTGGGCAGAAATTTCAGCTGAGCATTGAAGCTGGATTTGGCCTGGATAAATCCTGTTTTAGGTAGGATAGACATGTGGTTCCTCATCTCTTTACACACCTTGAATGTCAATCTGAGAGCTGAGCTGGCCCTAAAAAAAAGAAAAAACACCATCAAATATTCATATTCTCAAAAGTCAGGAAAACAGACTGAAAGAGAAGACATTGGTTAAACGGAAAGAACCAATATATTCATATCTGAAAGAGGACTCATTCTCAATTTAAAATCAATCACAATTACACTGCATTGTACAATGTAATATCCATGTATGTGTGTGTGTAATCCCAACCAAACATTCTCAGCAACACAGAGCATTAAAGCACAACCAGAAAAAGTATAAAATATGAGAAGCAAACGAGATCTGTGTATGCCACTCATTCAGATCCACATCAGCAGGGCTGTGAAATATGCAGTACCCCACTATCTATATGGCTCTAGAATAGATGACCCATTTCCCCAATTGTTGCCTGCAGCAAGAAGCTTCCAGAACAGCAGATATAATGGAAGATCATCCTGGGAATTCTTTAAATAATCAGACTATGCAGAGTGTGAAATAAAAGGCCTGAAACCACCAAATATTCACATTCTTTTACTGGCATCTGCAGTAACGATTGCTTTACAGTAGGGGTGTAACGATACCCTTGTGTCACGATTCGATACATATCACGATACTGAACTCACGATACGATATTATTGCAGAATATAATGTTAAACGTTAACAAAAAATGTACTGTTGATTAAAATGCTAAATTTGATATTACATTGTGTGTGTAAATGAATAGACTTGCTGCTGGAAAGCCAAAGCACAGGACAACAGAGACAACATATGGAGGATCCCTATACCACTCTTCAGATAAGCGTTGTGGAAATTTCGGTTTACGTACCTACTCCGAAGTGATAAAATAAAATAAAATTCTGTATAAAAATGTAAGACAAGTAGTTTGTTTAGGCATGGTTTTTTAGGGAATTACAAACCTCCGCACATATATTCAAACGCACATAACTATAGAATCAACACTTAATGCACATGTGAACGCCATCAGCGTTTATCACAGGTTCAGTTTAAAATCTGTTTAGAGAGAACGGCGTCATCTTAGCGGCCCCTAATTTAATAACAAATTATCATTTCGCCGGAAGTGAATCAATCAAAACTAACTTTAGCTGGAAATAATGTTATTCAGGAACCGCTATAAAACCAATTATATAACCAGTTACCTTATTATACCATTATATCTACATTGTTAAAAGCGCTATATAAATGAGGATGACTTGACTTGACCAGAATAAACATATTCATGATTCTGAAGCTGAAAATACAGAATAATTTTAGATGAATATGCTTGAACTCTGTCACTGACTAGATATATTTAAAATAATGCAGCCACTTTATACTGGAAACATCAGACATTTGGCATTATCAGGAGAGGACCCACAAATATTCCCCCATTACAATGTTATACATTATATTCAACATTATATATAGCAGTTTATTTTCTTTCTTACACAGTAATTTTTATTTTTGGGTGAACTATCCACAATACATATTGTTACATTCTTGTATTGATATATATTGTGACCCGATATATTGTTACACCTCTACTTTGCAGCAGTATGTCCTACAAATTCATGTCATCCCTCTGATAGGCAGCACAACAGGTCTTCTTAAGTCGAGGTTTTATCTGTCAGTCAGGTTGGTAACCCCTACAGAATACAGCTGCTCTGTGACTGTGCTTCTTTAGAAGTCCACCAGCAATAGAATTCACTGGGAAATGTGGATCTTGTCTGATAAAAATCGAACTGGTGCAATTCACCTGCTTTGCACTTCGATGCTGTCCTGATAAAGACGATCATACATGCAGATTTTCAGGTCAATATTTGGCTTGGTCACCCACACAGGCGCGCTCTCGGCCACCCCACAAACTGAAACCACAATCTATGCATTCAGAAAACAAGGAGAAAATTAAGTTAATATTTTGAGCTGTTAAAGCAAATATAAAGTATGTAAATATATATATATTTATAATTATGTGAAAACTCTACCGGTTCACAACCAGGTTGAGAAAATAGGATTTGAAAATCCAGTTTTGCCTCTCCTGGAATGGTTGGTCTGAAGATGATGGGTATTCTGACACTCATAAATGGGCCAACATCACCTTCATAAGGCTGTAAAGAGAACACCTGTATGTTACACTGCCATTTAAAGTCCCCCTGTGTTGAAAATCCAGCTTTTAATGTTTTTTATACACTCACCTAAAGGATTATTAGGAACACCATACTAATACTGTGTTTGACCCCATTTCGCCTTCAGAACTGCCTTAATTCTACGTGGCATTGATTCAACAAGGTGCTGAAAGCATTCTTTAGAAATGTTGGCCCATATTAATAGGATAGCATCTTGCAGTTGATGGAGATTTGTGGGATGCACATCCAGGGCACAAAGCTCCCGTTCCACCACATCCCAAAGATGCTCTATTGGGTTGAGATCTGGTGACTGTGGGGGCCATTTTAGTACAGTGAACTCATTGTCATGTTCAAGAAACCAATTTGAAATGATTCAAGCTTTGTGACATGGTGCATTATCCTGCTGGAAGTAGCCATCAGAGGATGGGTACATGGTGGCCATAAAGGGATGGACATGGTCAGAAACAATGCTCAGGTAGGCCGTGGCATTTAAATGATGCCCAATTGGCACTAATGGGCCTAAAGTGTGCCAAGACAACATCCCCCACACCATTACACCACCACCACCAGCCTGCACAGTGGTAACAAGGCATGATGGATCCATGTTCTCATTCTTTTTACGCCAAATTTTGACTCTACCATCCGAATGTCTCAACAGAAATCGAGACTCATCAGACCAGGCAACATTTTTCCAGTCTTCAACTGTCCAATTTTGGTGAGCTCTTGCAAATTGTAGCCTCTTTTTCCTATTTGTAGTGGAGATGAGTGGTACCCGGTGGGGTCTTCTGCTGTTGTAGCCCATCCGCCTCAAGGTTGTGCGTGTTGTGGCTTCACAAATGCTTTGCTGCATACCTCGGTTGTAAAGAGTGGTTATTTCAGTCAAAGTTGCTCTACTATCAGCTTGAATCAGTCGGCCCATTCTCCTCTGACCTCTAGCATCAACAAGGCATTTTCGCCCACAGGACTGCCGCATACTGGATGTTTTTCCCTTTTCACACCATTCTTTGTAAACCCTAGAAATGGTTGTGTGTAAAAATCCCAGTAACTGAGCAGATTGTGAAATACTCAGACCAGCCCGTCTGGCACCAACAACCATGCCACGCTCAAAATTGCTTTCTTTCCCATTCTGACATTCAGTTTGGAGTTCAGGAGATTGTCTTGACCAGGACCACACCCCTAAATCCATTGAAGCAACTGCCATGTGATTGGTTGATTAGATAATTGCATTAATGAGAAATTGAACAGATGTTTCTAATAATCCTTTAGGTGAGTGTATGTCTATTCGGAGTTTTTAATATGCTTTAAGACAAACCATGTGTAAATATTATACAAATATTCTGACTTAAATATACAGAGATAACAAGGGAACTAAATGAAAAACAGGTAAACATAATCAGTAACTAATAATTAGTCTAATCGGGACAGCGAACACAGTTAAAACAAAACCAAAACACAATCAAAACTAAACAGACAGAGATCGTTACACTACAAAGCTGTTTCAGTTTGATATATTTTTCCTTTAGATATTCTTCATTGAGTTAATAAATGTTGGATAAATAATAAATGTGTCTGCAAAAAAAAAAAAAGATTCAAACTTTGAGAACCAGACTCGATTTTTGCCTTTCTTGATTTGCTTTCTTAAATGTGTGTAAACAGGTCAATGTGTTCATACCTCCTCGATGCTAAACTCAGTAGGCTCCACTTTAGTATCCACTGGTCCTGGATCAGTTGTCAAAACCTCATCAGGACTGTGACTGCTGACAGGAGACACTATAAACAGAATTTTAATTTTACTATTAAAAGAGAAGTACAAAGTGTATACGTGTATGTCACATACATTTGTCACAGTCAATTGTCAAAGCTAAGACGCCTGAAAAAGTGGTATATCTTTATTTTTCATTAGACTAAACTATTTCTATTAGTACTTTTCAAATGTAATAAAATATAAGTATGTTTTATATTCGCCATTTTTATCGACTTCTCTGTCAAAACGGTGTCTTAAAAGGTGGTGTAATTATGCTGACTGTGTTTTGGATGGCGGATGTAGAAGGGATTAAGTCATTGTTCAAAGAGCCTAGTAAATACCCAGGTCCTATTTGAAATGAAAGTCATGTCAACACTGAGTTCATGTTGGCAAAGTCATTGTTTTTACATGTTTGCAACTAATATCGCAAATTTCAAATGTATTACTGAAAAAGCACTGTACCACAGGAGAAAAGCATTATGTTACCTGATCCGAGGTCAATGTCAGTCTTCTCTATGCCTGATGGGATTTCTGCGTTCAGACTGGCCATCTCTAAACTACCGCTTTTACCAGAATCCTGGGCAGAAAGATTGACCAAAATATTAAAGTCCCCCTGTGGTGAAAATCCAGTTTTTAATGTTGTTTATGTGTCTATGTGGTGTTTTTAATATGCTTTAAGACAAATCATGTGTAAGTTCATAAGTCGACAGCATTGCTGAGTATTTTCTCCTTAAAACTGCAGTGAACCAAAGACAGTCTCAAAAACACGGTTTGAAATCGCTGGTGTTTCTGACGTCACAAACGACCTTGTATCCAATCAGATCAACGTGTGATCGTCAACCAGTGGATCTCTGAGCTGAGTGAGTGAGTGGAGGCGGGGCTCATTTGCATATTCATAGACCCGCGCATACTAAATGAGGCAAGGGTGTCGAGTTACATTCAAGATATTTTAAGGCATGAAAAAAATGTTTAAATGTCATTTTGGTGATCAAAGATGAGTTAAGGGATAAAATTATTGACTACAGGAAAACTCACATCATGGGATCCATTAGATTTAAGCTGAAATCACAATGAAAGTGTACTGCCACATTATTCCACTTTCTGTTGCATGGGTACAAAGTTGGCAACCCTACCTGAACATATTTTTGTGAGATTCACTCTATCATAACCAGAATAACTAGATACCAAATCACAGGACTATCTCCCTCACTCAGTTCACTGATGACCCAACAGGCACTACTGGAGGAGACAGTCAGTCGCATCAGTGTGATTCACCAGTGAGCTCGTGAAGGTTTGCTGAAATGGACCGGTGGAGACGGGGGTCAGCGTGTAACGAGTGCCGAGAGCCCCTCTGTTGGTCATGGTGATTCCTCGTGAAACCGTCTGTCCGACCACATGAGTGCCAAAGTCCACAAAACAGTGATCAACAACCATCTGGGAAAAAAAGGGAAATAATGGGATTAACAACTCGGTTAATTTGGTAATTAACAACAATTACCAAAACCTAAAAAAAGAAGAGTCATTTACCATGCAAAAACTCCTACCTCACACTTTTTCTTGGAGCACTTGATAGCCACAGAAAAAGGGCCATTAGCCGACTGAAAGTGAATCACACCATCCAAATCCACATCGAGCTACAACAAATATAGATCAATTTCATAATATTTAGAGTAAGAGGGGGGGGAAAAACATTGTAGAACAGGAGATGATGATCATCTACTTAATATCTTGGTTTACAAGATGTAAAAATGTGTCCTGTAAAGGAAGTCAACTGGTATTAAAAGAAAAGTGTGTTTGGTTCTTAAGTTTCTAGGCTATTGGTTCCCTAGTGAAAAAACCTATACCAAAACGTATTTAAAATACGTTTATTTCATACTAAGTATACTACAAACCCATTAACATATTTACTGACATATCGCTTGAGACTTACTGATATAATGAAACATTATTTGGAGTAAATCTTTATTGCACAATGCAAATTTCTTAATATGAAGCATAAAATGTGTTTTAATATCACTATTAGTAAGGATAGTATCGTCTCTGTATAATATCAATCTTTAAATGCAAGATATTTAAAGTGTACCTAAAGTATACTTGCAATAGTTTAACTTTAGCACAATCAAATATACTTCAGTATATCATTAGTTGACCTTCAGCACTATTTCTGGATTATTAAAGTACATTAAGTGCAAAATTAGTTGTTCCAGTTTAGCAGACTTTAAGTTTATCAGTTTAGTACCAACAGTACAATTGCAGGGTATTTATAATAAGTACATAAATATGTAAATGTATTTGTAGTATACTTAGCATAAAATAAATATATTTCAAATACATTTTAGTGTATTTATTTTTCACTAGGGTTTCCATGCCACTCAATAAAGTTTTACTTTATGCAAATTAGCAGTGACACATGAGCGTGTGACACATTATGAAGTGACTGATCAGGCACTATAAAATATAATAGTATGATTTTCTGAAAAGATGTTTATAGTGAAAATTGCTTAACACTTTTCCTGAATTTAGTGATTCATGTCTTACGCATGATATTTTCGTTTATGGTTATTTTAACTCCTTATTTGTGTTAAGCATTTTGAATTAGCATTGTGTATGAAATGTGATAAATAAGCCTTGCCTTAGAAATCAAATTGAACTTGATTGTGACCAAGCTCACGTAATCCATCCCATGTTACTGTGAGTAATTTCACTGTTCTCGATGATTCATCTCTACCCACATGCAGTGATATAATAATAACAGAATTTTAAAACAGAATTTCATCTAATTTTGGGAGACAAAGCATCTCATGGGACGTGCAGAGTGAAGCAAAGATATATTATTCCCGTGACAAACAGCAGATGTGCAGTGTGGAAGAACCTTACCAAAGGTCTAAATATAGCCTCCAGTTCACAAGCCATGCCAGCAGACATGGGCCCTGGTGGCTCGAAACTGCAAGAAAACACGTCACACACACAAACACACACACAGGTTTGGAAATGATGACAGAATTTTCTTTTCAAGACAAACAGAGAGAGTCAGCAAAAGATGCCAGTACCACGTGTCACACTGCTCTGGCTTTAAAAGAGCATCCCTGTGATCACAACGAGACTGATAAGTAAACCCTCAAATGTGAGATGTTTATGTGATGTGCTAAAAGAGCAGCCTACCTGACTGACACATGCTCTTTCAGATTCTGGGACACTCCCGACAGCTTACAGTAATTAGTCATGTATGTGACATTCGTGAGTGTGACTTTCTTCTTATAGACCTTCCCAACATCGCAATCCTGCAAATACAGTTCAGAAACAACATAAATATAAATATATTCTAATATTAAATATATCAGATGTAATATAATGTATTAAGTTTTGTACTTTAGTTTAGAGGCATGACTCTGAGGTCTCAGATGATGACTGTAGCCATGTTTCCATCCACTTGTCAATCGAATTATCTGAAGTTCGGTAAAGCTGGTGAAAGTGTGTTTCCATCAAACGGCTTTTAAAGCGGATAAAAACCTGTGCGTAATGACGTCACATGCTGTTTTGCGATCAAATTGGTATATCGAATTGATTTGAGACATGTTAAGGTGTTTCCATTCATTTTCTCACCGAATCGCACAACATTCAAGCAAACATTTGCGAACAAAGTTTTGCTAGGCAAAATGGATCGCACCATAATAACGTTTCCATCCGCGTTTATCGCATAAGCCGTATATCGATCAAGATAAAATCCGATGAGACGATCGTATTTCATTTGAGTCGATATTCATGAAATTCAATCGAATTTTACTGTTTCCATAAGGCATTTTTCATTCGATATCACTTAATGCGGATAAAAATGTGTGGATGGAAACACAGCTTGTGTCTTAAAGTTAAGTGAGCTCAAACGCCAAAAGTTTAGAAATATATGTTATATTTTTTCCACCACCACATCCCTTTAGTGGCTCCATACTTCAAGTGACTGAATTGAGAGCAAACGCAAACTGCATATTTGATATACAATATGATATATATTTCCCTCAGCATTGTCATCCACCTTGAATGTAAATTCGTTGCTGCCCTCATTGCAATGCATTATGGTATTATATAATTAGTGAAGAATATTGCGAATAATTATTTTATCAGGCACAGGACTTCGGTTCCTATAATTTGACACATTCTGTTCATTGGACCTTTAATTCCCATGAACGATGTCTAGGCAGCTCAGTAAGTTTTGAACACAGCTGTTATGATGAAAACGTCTGCATTCGGTACCTTAAACAGAATAATCTCAGGTTTGCTGATGAATGGTGGTCCTTTTGATTCTCTACCCTTTATAGTCTTTTTTGCTTCCTTTGAAAGCAAACCTTTGTTCATGTCAGTCTTCATGGTGGTGTGAGATGCTTCAAGATGAATGTTTTCATCTGATGTGGCCTAGGGGGACAGATATGACAAAAAACAATGATTTTCTAGCTGTAAATGAAAGATTGATATTTATTCTATTATAGCGTAGTAAAATAAAAATAAGTGATTACTATGTATAGTAATACTAGGGGCCAGTTGCATAATCATAGCCATTATGTTATGAGTATGTCCATTGTGTGATGATACTGTGTTTCCCAAAAGCATTGAGACTATTGGTGCCGATGGTCTCAATGATCTACTTAGGCCTGCAATGCTTTCGGGAAACACAGTACTGGTCACGATGGTTCAACAAAACAGAGCTTACACTTGTTGAAATCAAATCTCTGAATATTGGGATAGAGGATTTTTTTTTTTTACTAAACTTGGCATTCTTTTTTTATTGCCATTTTTGTATGCACATATTTTAATTAATCATCATAAATTAGGTATCATTCGAAATCTTACGAACTCAAAATTCATCCTTTTGAAATTGGACATTGCGTTACAATAGAAATGGTACTTTAAATTATTTTAGCTGGCTCCTCCCCTAGTGGGCGTCGTCAGGTTTCATATTACAATATTTATTTTAACTACTTTAAATTCAAAACCTTTTCTAATCTTGACAAAACACTTATCGTCGGAAAGGTCTCATAGAGTCTCAAGGTTCCATATTTGGCGACTATTTTGTGATAGAAGTGATATTTGGACATAAATGTATTAATTTGTTACAGGAAAATGCATTAAACATTTTTTAAATGGAATGTGTGTGTCACCCGGTGGCTATTTTTGGTATTACGCTTAAACAAAATGGGAACGTAATTTTTTTGTGATATCAACTTCAAATTTGGAACACAACTTGGTTAGATTTATGGCTTTGATTTTATAGTAAAAATAATTTAGCAAAATATATATTTAAAAAATGTTTAGTACAGTACATTTGATTTACAGTAAATTTAAACTTCCATAACTTTTTGATACTTTAATTTTTTTGAAGGGCTTTATCTATAGTGTCTTCTTTAAAACAAGACCAAAAATAGGTCTATATTCCACAGCATTTTTGAATTACAACCATTTAAGTTTGGATAGTGCATTTTCATGTCTATTCTCAAAAAGGGGGGGAACAGTTAAGGGGTGTCACATTCTTATGTATTTTATTGAAATTGTTACCATATCATCTTTGTGTTTGTGTTCCCAAAGGCCGGTGAACTCAGGCTGAGCCAGGCTCATCTCTCTTTTATCTTCATCCTCCATTTCTACACACTCTCCCAACTTCAGCTCGGCAGAGTCTGAAGAGGAACTGACATCACTGTTGCTGTCACTGTACGACCTGATGCGAGATGCTCTGGGACTTGACATTACATGCTTTTCCTGAATTAAACACAAGTGGAAAAAGTGATTGTTAGTGTTGCTTTTATCAGCATCTTTGATTTGGGGTCATTTTAGTGCCAGTAATCACAACCTTGGTTACTTAACCCAATGGGTTACCCCATGTGTGAAAAAGTTTGATTCTGGCTTAAAGTTGACAAGCAGATAAATGGAGTGGTTAAGTCGTGGTCGTGGTATGAGTAACCCACTTCTAGCCAAAATAACCTTAAATTTGGTTACATGTCGTTTTTGCCAAAATAACTTGCGAGATGTACGATATTCCATCATGTAAGCAAAGTCAACAGTGGTTACAAGGTGTTTGGTTTCATTTCCTCACTCATGTCATTTCTTTGTTATCTAATTGATGACTAGTCTATTCTTGGGCGATGGTTAGACGTCTCTGAAATTTTCACTGACAGCCCAAATTTTGCCTTGTTTTAGCCTAGACGTCTGAGCTGTGTTTGGACGGCTATTAGACGTCTTTGAAACGCAAAATTGCTTGCTGAGTTGGTTTATAATGGCATTATGCAATGTGATCTCTACTTCTGCAGACAAACTTGCATCATTCATAAGCTAACTGTACTTTCTCTTTGTGGAGCGCAGAACATACCATCATTTCATTCATTGTTTTACTGATAAACAAATACTGTATGGCGAGTGTCACGCTAAGCAATCACTGGTACCTCTCTCTTTGTATGTGCAGATGGAGGCAGTATGTTCTGCAAGAGTTTCTCATCTCGCTTTTTCTCATGGCTCAGAGTCAGTACGGGAGATTTCCTACGCCTCTCCTTCATGTTCCTTTCCGAGAGCAATTTAGCCACAATCTCCATTTGCCCCACTCTCCGTGTATCTTCAAATTCCCTTCAATGAAAAAGATAGAAGATATGTAAAACATACAGCATAACAGCTGTCCTCAAACCTTTTGAGCCTTCACATCAGATGTTTATGGGAAATTCTCACGCATTTTTCTTCCTGAAGCGCTCCTGCACTCTCAGTCGGTGGATGTGTTCAGTGCTGTTCAATCCTTTGGCCTCCAGTGACTCTTTCATGTGTTGCTCTTGCTCTTTCTGTTTCTGTTCATAGGCTTTCTGTTGTAGTTTTCTAGCACACATAGTTTCCTAAGTACATGGAGAGAAGATCTATCAATGGCATATGCAGACGCAAACACTCGCCCAGCAATACTTGTCCAGTGCTGCTGTGGATACACATACCATTACTCTTCAAATTGCGCAAATTGAAATTGCGAATTGAAAATACGACCAATGGAAACACGTCAATTTCACAAAAAACTCCCATGTATCGTAAAAAAGTTTTTACGCTCGCATGAGGGGTTTTTTCAGGCAATTCGAAAAAGGAATATTTCGCAAAACTGGTGTACATAAAAGTCGATCATTCTTTAAAGATGATGTGGTGTGTTTGGACAGAAGACGAGACAGAGTTCTTTATTAAACTCATAAAAGACAAAAGTATCACAGGAATACTGGATTCTAAACAACAACGAAATGCCACAATTTCTCAAGAGCTTGAAGCAGAAGGAGTGAGAAACACTCATATGAGCCGCTCTCAGTATACGGGTCTTTCCTTGCCTTTAATACTTGGAAAACATGCCTTCCATTAATAATAATGGCTAGTGTGTGGGCTGCGATATACTTAAACCTACCAACATCTGTTGCCATGATTTTTGGAATGAGAAAAGACGTTTTACTCGCATAACATCGGTTAATGGAAACGCCGTCATTTTGCAATAGTTTTTTTATTGACATTTAGAAAATATTGCAAAACTTTGTTTCCGCAACCAAGCTCCTGTCTGCAAGGACGCCCCTCTATAGTTGCTGTTATTTGTTGTGATGGGATTTTTAAATGAATCAAAACTAACATTTCTTTTCCATGCAGGAATAACATTCATATGCTTTTGAAACCTAAATGTTTCCAAACAGTTTGGTCAAAGTCAGTCAGTCAGTGAATCAACTCTGAATATAACAAAAGGGGAAATGATGTTTGATCAGATGTTTGAATATATAAACCGATGACTTGAAACAAAGTGAAGTATACCAAGAAATTGCATCTACCTAGTAACAGAAGGGTTTGCTGGATTATACATATGAAGAACCAATCATATTGTAGGACAATTACGTAATGAATCATGTCACCTTTGCCATGCTCCTGTTGTATTTTTTTTGCTGGTGGGATTCTGTCTGAAATTGGTCTGAGATCCTCCGGTCGTGATTAAAGCATATTTAAAGGCATTGTCTGGATTGTCTAGTTATTGCTGCGCACCAGGTTAGTCGAACACTAGAGACCTTATTCCCAAGTGACAGTGTTCAAAAAGGAACAAGGCGTCGTTCGACTCAGTGTGAGACTCTTAGGTGGGGTTAGATACAGTCAGGTTACTATAATTCTTAGGCATTTTATGCGGTCAGAGTAGCTACTCTTAGGCCGTGTGTCCACCAAAGCTCTACTGAAGACGCCTAGCTTTGGGCGCTTGAGAGCGTTTTGGCAGCGCAGCGTTTTTTCAGTTGAGACGTTTCGTTGCTATGATACAGAATATCCGCAGCACAGTTTACTTGTAACTGATTTCGCAGATCATTTGTTTCATACTAAAAATTTATTTTTCATCCATGTTGTTCGGTTAGCTCTGCTGGTGGATGTCGTTGTACAGAATGTTGTGACAGTTGGTCGGTGTGGTATTAGCCCCGCCCCTCCTCCACTGTGATTGGACGGCTGGGTAAAAAGTGACAGTGATGAGCGCTGCGTTTTACCCAAAGTTGAACATTCTTCAACTCTCGGCGACCTGTAAAAACGCCGAGCTCTCAGCGCTTCAGCGAGAAAAAAACGTTCAGCGTTCGTTGCGCTCATGGCGTTCTAAAAACGCGGCGCTCCCATTGAAAACAATTGAAAACATACGCCAGGCGCTTTGGTGGACACACGGCCTTAGGCGTAAACCACTGCGGTCAAAGGGGATTTCACCTGCGTATAATTTTGCAGGTGTCAGGGACACTTGGTTAAACTGAAGTCAGGTGCGTAGGGGAAGATCTCCACATTGGTACCCTAAGCTTCTCCTTGCGGGTGGTGAGCCTACAAAGAGGTGGCTCCATGTTGTTTGTTTGAGCTGAGCCTGACTAGGCCTCATGAAGCATTACACACATATTACGATTTATTTATACTGCTGCAGACACGTCACACCTCCCAACTCAACTCATAACCCTTACGACTGATTGACTGTACCTGACTGGCAGCGAAACTGGCTTTAAGTGTCATCACTGCGGTCTGCCTCTTCTTTATGAGCTCCTTCCTCCTCTCTTTAGCCTCAGCCTCTTTCTGTTTCATCCTACAACACAAGAGCACTTACAATACGTTTTATACTATCTTCTTTTAAATACACTTTATTAGACTGGCCACTAATATGAAAGCCGAAAATTTGAAGTTGTAATTCAACTAGAGTTATACAAAATGTGCATGTTGGTGTCTCACCTCTGTAGAGTCTGCTTGAGGAAGACGGCTGCTTTGAGATGGCCAGCAAGAGCCTGTTCCTGTTGTTTCCTGAGCACTTCTGCCTGCTCTTGTAAAACCTTGTCACGTTCACTGTCACAGGAGATTATACAAATAACACTTTAAACAAACTTTTTCAGGTGGTGCTTGCCCACTTACAACTCGCCGCCATGATGCCGGGGTCTGCAGCTGTACGATAGGGTTTCTAGGCTTTTCTACAAATTGACTAGAAAACCAGAGGCCACTCTCTCTGCCGGTTATAGGTCAAAGACTCTTTACTTTGTTTTGTAAATCATTTTGAGTCGATGAGCCAAGTTTTATTTAAATTGTTCTTTTGGCAAGGAAAATACTAAATAGATTCTAGATTGATTCTAAAAATGTAAAATATGTTCAAATGTGTTGCATTGCCTGCTTTGAAAATCTATGTGATTTTTTTTTATTTTACCATCCATCATGTGACAATTCAGCAAAAAGTCTAATTGTGAAATGATTTAGACTGTTAAAGGTGCATGCGATTACTGAGAAACAATGTTGATAGTTGAAATCGATACTCAAACATCCCCTCTTTTCATTGCTCCGCCCCCAATAGAAGAAAAACTATGCAACACAAGCAACTACTAACAGCTCGTGCACATATGGATGAATCAGCTGTGATCCAACGAAAGCTCATGTATCGAGCAAAAACAAAGCAAGACCTTCAGACCTTCCTGCTCTCTAAAGTCTCTCCAGCGCTGGAAAGCTGTTCCAATATTAACGTGGCTCCTAACACTAATCATAACCCTTCTTTATCCAATTATATTCATGTGACCATTTACTCTCATTCTTTCTGCAGATGTCCCTCTTGCTCTCCTCCAACATCTCGATCGGATACGCCCCCTATTGCTGATTGGCTACAAGAGTGTTCTGGTCCTCTATGGATCGGACCAATCCACTTAGTTTTTTTCTAATATTTACATCGCTAGGACTTTGTGCAAAAAAAAAGAAGTTTTTCAGCACACACACGCAGAACAACAGACATCTAAGGGTATGTTCACACTTGTAGTTCAATTTGCTTGGTTCCTTTACTCCGGGCAAAAAAGAAGAAGAAACGTTTAGTCTTGGTCTGTTTAGTGTTCACATTGGCATTTTTAACACTGAACCAAAAGGCATAGGGATATGTTCACAACCTGATTGTTTGGCTTTTATTCTGTATATTTCAAGACAAGATTTACCGAACGTCCACGCTGTATGTGCATAGTCTACATATGATGGTATTTTGACCAACTGAGAACTCATGAAGAGCTTATAAAATGTGTAAAGGAGTCAAAACAGCGACAGGAATCCCTCCGTCACACACACACACACACACACACACGGACCTGCTGTGAGGAGACGTGGTTCTGATGCCTGTACTGAACTGTGATGAGCAACATCCCGGCTATGATGAGAAAAAAACATTCTGTCCTTTTTAGGGTCGCATCTTGTGACATCACGTCCTGTTTTTGGTTGGTTTACATGTCTTTGGTCCATGTTGCGTTCATATATCAGTCGAACCACACCAGAGTTCATTTGGAAGCAGATCGAGTCTCATCTTTTCAGCGTTCGGTCTGTTTGTTTGGTGGCACCAGGGTTCAGATGATAGCATTCATACTTAATTCAAATGAACCACCCTTACAGAACAATCGTACCAGAGTTCATTTTAATCCAACCAAACATGCCAAGTGTGAACACACCCTAACAAATATTCAAAAAATTGTATGATTGGATGTTGATTTCCATTTTCAACAGCATTTCTCAGAAAGCGCTTACTCCCCCTTTAAATGGCTCAGGTTACACGTCTTGCATTAAACTGCAAACTGGAGTGGATGTGATACAAGCGGTGTGCAATTGTGTGACACATTTCACATTAAACTCTTACATTTTGTCATGTTGTGCTTTGTGTCTACGTTGTTTGATAACGCTCTTCTCTCGCTGGAGTCTGAGCTTTTGTTTCTTCTTGTCCTGTAATTGGACGTTCTTCTCCTCCAGCTCAAGTTCCTGACGCAGAGCCAAGAAGTGACCCAGATCGACCTCCACCTGACACAGCTCCAGCCTGAACATACGACAATTACACTCTACATCCACAACAACAGCATATTAAAGGCTTTCTGTTAGGCAACCATGGTTAGTAGATTAAATCATGCTGTGTAAAACTGGATTTTCAAGAATCAAAGACTTCCTCCCCAATCCATCCAGAACAGATACTGAGATAAACTAAATTATGTCATCAAACCCATGTTCAAAAGGATGTTTGAAAAAATAAAGTTTGTCCCGCAATTCATAACAAAACTCGTTTTTAAATGTTATTTGAGAGCAAAATTAAATGATCCACATTGTGAACCTTAGTTTGAGATTCTCTAGTGTAGAGTGTGACCCTTTAAATACCCCTTCATGACCTTTCATGTTGTGTGTAATAAAGCTGTTTGTGAATGTAAAAGGTCTGCAAAGTTTTTAAGATCAATATGCACTACAAGTTATTTTCTCCAAAAAGAAATAATCGATTCTGAACTGCCAGAAACGAGTCGTCAGCAATTCCAGCCTCACTTTCTGTTACAAACATGTAGGCTGGCTACACATTTGCATAATGTGGCCTGTGGCCTTCATTGGCTGATCACCAACAACACCAACTTTGACCCTCAAACACTGAGTTTGGTTCGTGTTGTTCATGTCGAGAAGACGCTGTTTTCTGCTGCCAAAGAAAATCCACTTTTTTAGCACTTCATAAGTATGAGACTCACGCTGGAATTGATACGATAAAAATCGTTACTGTTCGTATCACTATACATCCAGTGCTGAGGAAAATCCAGAGCTGGAATTCAGTTATGCTAATGGCCGTTTCATTTCCGACACGCTGTAAACGGTCGACCAATCACAATCTGATTTTGGGCAATCTGACCAATCAGAGCAGAGCAGCTCTCAGAAAGTAGGGGTTTAGATAAACCGAATCTTCGTACAAAGAGACTGTATATTATGAGAAGATAGAAGTGTTTTTTGACCTTGGATGCATGTAAACCTAGCCTGGGAAAACCCAGACAACTTCCGGCAAATTTAGATTTGCTCTGAAAGTTAGTCTGGCAAAGAGCTCATTCAAGCCCATTTCCAATCCGCCGAAATCGCGGCACCAATCAGAAGCGTTGGGGCGGCTTTACACGATGACGACAGCGCTGGGATTTTGAAGCAGATTTTGTAGCCTACATTACAAAGATGGATGCCGCCGTCGAACATCACTCGTTCGAATCAGCTATCGCGTCTGTTTTAAGCCATTTGAACGTTTCCTTTTTGTTAAAAACCGAGCAAAGAACAACACTCGGAGATGTTTCTCCACCGCTCTGCATACGTCATCTCCTTCATCGCTCTGATTGGGTTTAGGTCTATCCGCGACCTTCTGGAAATGATTTGTCTATGACGCTTTGCCAGACCATAACTCAGTTACAAATGAGAATGCTCTGGTTTTAACCAGGCTAATGTAAACCTATTGTAGACCTCCAAAACAAAACAAGGATCATTTAAAATAGCATAATAAGGCGTTTTAAGACCATTTTTAAACAGTTTAGAAATGACAGAATAAACAGGTGAATTTCCTCCATTGCTTTTTTCATTGATGAGCAAAACAACCACTATATTTCCAGAAGTTTAAAGCCGTTTAAGTTTAAATATCACAATAAAAACAAATATCAAGACAAGAATGCAAGTTACAGTATCAAGAATAAAATCCACAGGTATTAAGTGTAAGATTATTGCAGATATGAAACTCACTCATGCTCTTTGAGGATCATGGCTAAATGATCCCCCAGATCCTCCTCCACCTGCAGCTCGGCACACACACGCTTGTGTTGAGCTCCAAGCCGGAGCACCGCCACGCTGCGCAGAACAAAGCAGAACTAGACACTTCTTTCTCTTCTTCGGGGAACTTCGTTCGCAAAAACTGTTTTTTACCTGTTCTCAGCTCGTTTCTCTCTCTCTATATCCGACTCAATCTGCTCTCTGTTTTCCTCCAGCTCAGTCACATGAAGGTCAAATGCTTTTAGTTCCTCCCTTGAAGAAAATACATTTTGTACAAACTCAGATTTACAAATACATTTGTGTGTTATAAAGAAGCTAAAAATCTGAACATGTTGTAGTTGGTAACGAGGAAAGAATACATTTATTATAGAGAATGGTGAGATTAATGATAAAACGGTGAAGATCCCTTATAGAGGCCAGTTCACACTGCGCCGACAGACGGCAACACACACTTCATCGGGTTTTGTCGGATCAGTGTGTCTCCTGTCGGAGTCTGTCGGAGCTTGTTGTCGCAGATTGAACATGCTGAATCAGAATTAGATTGTCTGAGTGTCGGAGTCGGTCTGCGTCTGTCGTGTGGACTGAATTTAGGTCACCATTCACACACTCACAAGAGGGAAAAATCATGTCGCATCATACCTGACTGAATGAAAATGCACGCTTATAGTCTTTTATAATTGAGATTAGATTAGGGGTTCGACTTTATGATTAATTTGATATTTGGCTCATACAGGTGAAACTCGAAAAATTAGAATATCGTGCAAAAGTTCATTTATTTCAGTAATTCAACTTAAAAGGTGAAACTAATATATTATATAGACTCATTACATGCAAAGTGAGATATTTCAAGCCTTTATTTGTTATAATTGTGATGATTATGGCTTACAGCTTATGAAAACCCCAAATTCAAAATTAGAATATTGTGAAAAGGTTTTCATATCTGTAAGCCATAATCATCAAAATTATAACAAATAAAGGCTTGAAATATCTCACTTTGCATGTAATGAGTCTATATAATATATTAGTTTCACCTTTTAAGTTGAATTACTGAAATAAATGAACTTTTGCACCATATTCAAATTTCAAGTTTCACCTGTACATTTTTCCACAGCCCAACTTATGATTTCAAAGTCTCATATGAATTCTTAAGACTTATCATGAAATTGGGTAGAAAAAATCCACATACTTGCAAAAAAAAATTATAATAAGCATTTCTTGTTTTTTTATTGTCTTGTTTTTCAAGGACAATATCTAAACATCCTTAAAACAATCGAATTTTCTCACCCCATCTGTGAATATTTTTTTCTTTTCAGTGAATTCTGTGCTTAAAACAAATAAACAAAAAAGTATTTCCCGGTGGAGAATAAAAACCTTTACCTTAAAAATGTTGCTATACATAGTGAATGGATCAGATGTTTAGATAGATCTTGACTTCAGAATACTGTCCATATTTGCATTGTGCTTCCTTCCTTATAGCACTACTCAGAGAATCAGGAGTACCAGTATCAGTAAAAAAAATTGTTGTCGGTTGTACGACGTATTTATATCCATGAAAACCTGCAGCACTTCAGCATAGATGCCGAATCCCTGTGCATGCGCTGCTGTCGTCAGTCACATGACTGGCAAACTGTGGAGATTAGACGTAATTAATGTGTTGTGTGTTTGAACACCATATCAGATCTGCACCAATCACACGCAGTCAGCATTTTTGATTTGTGAGCTGTTTGCATCCCTGAATTTGAAAAGAAATCTCCTTCTCATTACTGTAATACATCACTAAAAACAGCAACCAAAGTACAGCAAACACGACCGTGACGTGCTTACAATTGTATCGTTTTTTAAGGTAATGAGAATGAGATCTTTTTTCATTACAGTAATTAACAATTCTTTATACAAAATATAATTAAAGATTGGTTTATTTTTCTTTATTTCTGAGATTTTACTAAAAGCTGTGAATGCACTATTTGCAATGGAGCCTTCTCCACCTCAGAAATAAACAAAAATAAACCAATCAGTATGGCCTGTGTTTACAGCTCGCCGGCTCTGCTCAGTCCACCTACAGTACCTGACAGCTTTGCTCTGGCATGTGCTCACACCATGATGTACATTAGAAAACACAGTGGGAGGCAGATATTCAGAGTCTAAAAACCTTCCCTGAGAGGATGGAAAGGGCCACGTTATCACAGTAAAAGAGGATACAGACCTGGCTTGTAGCAAATTCAGTTTCTTCTGCTGGTAAAAGCTGTCCAGTTGGGTCAGAAACTTCTTAAGCTTGAACATGCGTTTCTTGTCGGTGTATTGCTTCTCCCCGCCTGTGTCATCTTCACCATCACTCATTTCCCTTAGACAAGGTAGACAAGAGCCAGTGATAGATATACAAACATCTGAACAGTAGTGTATATTATATTAAAAGTGAGTTTTTTTCTGAACAAAAGAAGTTATTTCATTCAGCTTGGAATTAGCATTAAAGGAATCCTATTATTATGCTTTTTTCCATGTTCATCTTTCTTTAGTGTGTAATGTTTCTGTTTGAGTCACAATATTCCTCATTTAAATATTTCCCGCCCAAAGCATACGCAAAATAAAGGGGCACAGTCCTTTACGATTGCTTCTTGTCAGACTGTACGAACACGATCATCGCTGTAAGTCTTGTCACACTGTAAGATCTCAGTTGTCATTAATGTCTACGACAGTCAAGATGTGTTAAAAACTAACAAACACAACACAACTCGTCTGGAGATGTACATCATCAATCAATGACACGTTCGGTGATGCGAGCTTCATTACACGCGGGATTGAAATGGTACAAAGAAATCTCTAATGTTAATTTTGGTCATGGCTTGTCTTGAAAAACTAAGACAATTTGACGGTGGTCGTAGGAGAATCACAGCAGGACTGAGAGTCAAATCTTCTGACACAGGTCAGAGGTCAAATCTATGGAAGCTTGTTTCCGCCACAGAATGAAAAATAGAAAAGGTAATTGCGACTTTTTATCTCACAATTCTGACTTTTTTTATCTCACAATTGCGTGATATAAGATCGCAATTGCGTGTTATAAAGTCAGAATTGCGAGATATACAGTCAGAATTTATTGATATAAAGTCACAATTGCAGGTTGTAAAGTCAGAATTGCGTGAAATTAAGTCGCAATTGCGTGTTATAAAGTCAGAATTGCGAGATATAAAGTCAGAATTGAATGATATAAAGTCGCAATTGCGTGTTATAAAGTCAGAATTGCGTGATATAGTCGAAATTGCGTGTTGTAAAGTCAGAATTGTAAGATATAAACTATTCTGAGGGGAAAAAAGTTAGTCTTTTTTCCCCCTTATAGAATTGGTCTGATAACTCGCAATTGCGAGTTTATATCTCACAGTTCTGAGAAAAGATGTCAGAATTTCGAGATGTAAACTCGCAATTGTGAGAAAAATAGTCAGAATTGTGAGATAAAGTCGCAATTCTGTCTTTTTTTCTTGCAATTGCGACTTTATTTCTCACAATTGCGACTTTATATCTCGCAATTGCGACTTTATTTCTCTGAATTGCGACTTTATATCTCGCAATTGCGACTTTATTTCTCAGAATTGCGACTTTATATCTCGCAATTGCGACTTTATTTCTCAGAATTGCGACTTTATATCTCGCAATTGCGACTTTATTTCTCACAATTCTGACTTCATATCTCGCAATTGTGAGATAAAAAGTCGCAATTATTTATTTTATTTTTTTATTTTATTTTATTTATTTTATTCAGTGGCGGAAACAAGCGTCCATACAAATCTGATCATTAATCTGCTGTCGGTGAACATGTCAAACAAGCGATCAAAGACTTTTTAGCCAAGGAAGCAGAAGTGCTTGACCAATCACAACACACTGCTCCAGCCGACCAATCAGAGCACAGTGTGCTTTTCTCAATATCCCTCCTCGTCTCCTCTCCTCCATCCTGTGACCCGGAAACCGATCGAGCTCAGCCATCTTGAAGGACATCTCAATCCTCTACTTGCACCGCGAGGAGACAAGGTTCGAGGAGTGAGGAGCTTCTACAGGAGCTATAAGCGAGGATAAACAGATGTATCCTTTGCGGAAGTGTTTTATCGAATAAACGTGACGTATAAAATTCTCCTCACCCTTCACATCGGTCACAATCATTTTAATTGATACTTTACCGTTGCAGTTTATATAAACCACACATCTCACATATTTCAACAGGGTATCTTGCTTTATTATTATTTATTATGAATTTCTTAAATAACCAAACTTCTACAACATAAGGGCAGATCCTTTGAGCACTGCTGATGACGCTATGAAGTGTCGCTCGAGTGATCAAATATTGTATAAAAAAGCTTTCATTCGATTCCTCCGTCCTCCTTTTCTTTCCTGAGAACTGAGAAGCTGAGACACGAGGAGAGGAAGCGAGGAAAGGAAATGAGGATGCACAAATAAGAATTGAGAAGCACCCTGGGTCACAGGGCAAAAAGCAGACGGAAGGAACTGTTTTTTTTTTTACAATTTATTCTTTTAACCATTCATGTATGTCTCCACGTCTGAAAAACAACAGTCTCAGCTGTAGCTTCCATGATGAAAAAGGAGTCCAAATAAATAATGAACATGCATTTTAACACCTACCACTCAGAGCTGTCAAACCCTGTGGACCAATCAGGGAAGTCCTCCTCAAACCTGAAGATGTCATCCAGAGTGCCTTCTTCTAAAGGAAATACAACATGAGGCATCAAGCACATTAAACACCTGAGTTATGATAATACTGGTAATAATCAAGGCCGTGAACAAATATTATACATTTAGCAACTCTTTCACAATTAAAAGAGAAAAGCTCCGCCTCCTTTGGTTTGATTGGCTATCTCAATCATTTTGCCATTGACGAGTGCTGTTAGACCACTGAGGCAGAGAATATGAATACAACTTTTAAAACTTGTTGTCATCCTAACATCAAACAGAGAGGAGTGGAGAAGAGCAGCATCAAGAATATCAAATATCCCTGCCAATTATGGCCCTGCTAATAATAACTTGTGTGTGTGTGTGTGTGTGTGTGTGTGTGTGTGTGTGTGTGTGTGTGTGTGTGTGTGTCTACATGTCTTTACCTTCTGTGTGTGTGCCAATACTATGAGGCTCATGTTCAGTTGCAGGTGTTGAGAGATCAGCACTGTTGGCCATATCCACGTGATCCACGTATCCACGTGACCTGCAGGAGTAAACCTGCTAACAATAACGAGTTCTAAGAATGTTTTGCTAACCTTCCATTGAAGGGATAGTTCACCCGAGTTCACCCAAAAAAAGAAAAGAAAATTCTGTCATCATTGAGTCACTCGTAATGTTGTCCCAAACCTGTATTAATTTATTTCTTGTGCTGAACACAAAAGAAGATATTTTGAAGAATGTTGGAAACCAAAACTAAAAATTTGAAAATAGGAAAATAAAAATACTATGGAAGAATTTTTGGTTTAACTAACGTAACGTTTCAGAATTCAGAACATTCAAAGAACATTCAAAAGCATCAAGTAGCCTATATAGCATAAAAAAAATAAAAATAAATAAAAAAAACATAACTTAGATGACCGTCCAACTAAAACATTTTAGGAAAAACGTATATATTAAAGACATTATTAAAGACCCGATAACGTCCAAAATAACGTTCTATTAACATTACCTACTGAAAAAAACTGTTCATAACTTTGAGAGACCCTTGCCAGAATGTTCTCTGTTAACCGGGAATATAGGCTACTAATATTAAAAAATGTCGCCATATGCAGATCAGAAATATCAAAACTGGCTGTATACGTATTGTTTAAAAGCAGCCTAACGATCTCGATTGTTTGTCTGGCAATAGTCGCTGTCTTATAATAAAGTATTCGCTCAAAAGGGAACGTATATGCACTGGCTAAAAAGATATTTGTATGACAGAATTTGCATATAATATTACCTACTTTTTCCTGTCAACTTCTGGAGTCGCAGCAGCTTCCGTTGTTTGTGTTTCCATGGCAACGGATTCGCGCAGTTCCTTGGGAAATGTAGTGTCTGCAATGTGTTGTGTTGTGTGTGTGTGTGTGTGTGTGTGTGTGTGTGTGTGTGTGTGTGTGTGTGTGTGTGTGTGTGTGTGTGTGTGTGTGTGTGTGTGTGTGTGTGTGTGTGTGTGTGTTTGTGTGTGTGTGTGTGTGTGTGTGTGTGTGTGTGTGTGTGTTGTGTTGTGTTGTGTTGTGTTGTGTTGTCCGATTCACAAATCAAATACATTTAATGAGTCAAAGAGCTGTTTCCTCAAAGTCACTACGAAATCAAAATGGACAATTCCATTGGACAGTTGTTTTTTTAATGCAATATTGCAGTACTTATTCAAAATCATAATTAACGTTAGAAATGTTCTCTTCTCTGATGATGTGTTTACCAATTTGATATTACATTTATAATGAAGACTGCAATATTCCATAAGAAATAAGAAGTTTCCCTTTTGATTGCATTGTGTTCCTTCACAGGGCTGTTTTTTATGAGTTATGATAACAGACAGCATTTCTGTCCTGTATTCTGTAGAGGTGAAAATCTTATCTTACACATACACATCTCCATCTCTCTATTCTATTGTCTTCTCTTTCTCTCTTTATTTCCTCTCGGCAGCTACAAACTCCGGGAACAACAGCTTAAACACTTACTAAATAAACAGTGTCGCATGAAGGGTTTCTTTAAACCCTTTCAGTGTTCAATATAAGTCAACAAGAGCTTATGCAATCAATGTCACTGAACGCACTATTACATCATTTAAGCTCATGGCCTTTATATACGTCAGACAACACAAAAAAACATCAGACAGGATACAAACAAAGCAAACTATGACACCAAGAATAGTGCAAATGATTGAACAAAGAACTTGGATGTGTTGATGCCTTATAAACCTCCTCATAAGAAGCATTCACAGGGTGATAGAGATGACAGTAAAGCAGGGTTGATGTAACATAAGAACATTGTTTTATCGTGCGAGTGCTTGTATCCTCCACGAGCGGAGGATTTTAATCTGATGTGAAAGAAGAGGAGGGATCCGTTCATTCAAACGAATCGGTTCGTTCGAACAGTTAGTTTTGCTGAACCGATTCTTTCAAGTCAACGATCAAAACGGTTCTCTCTTTGTATTTTATGTCCAATCTTTTGCTGGTAGTGGTACACTGACATTTGCCTTTGTCGTGTATTTTATGTCCAATATGTTTTATATAGGCCTAGCCTAACTATTCTATGATTGTATTTGAAATAAACAAACACAGTTTGATTACATATGGGGTTTGCTATTGCTTCGATCTCGTGTGACAGGTTGCTTGAATGGAGAGGTTATTGTCATATGGCAAGCCGTTTTGACTTTTATTAATTTCCAGGATTTGAATTCTTGATATCAACAATTAAATTACTATAGTAACAATGGCAATTTTTGATAACAGGAGCATTTTAACTAGTGAAAATGTAGGCTAATTGTTGATGGGCTATCAAGAATTGTTAGCCTACTAGTGGAAATGTAGGCTAATTCCTGATATCAAAAATTGCCATTGTTACTAGTAGAAATCTAATTCCTGATATCAATAAATATAATTTTAACTAGTGAAAATTGAATTGTTGATATCAAGAATTCACATCCTGAAAATGAAAAAAAGTTAAAACGGCTTGCCATAATTGTAATAAGATAAGAGATGAGATGTCAATATAAAGTGTAAGGGAAGTTATTTTGATTAAAGACTATGAGATTTGTTCAATAAAAACTTTGTTATTGGAAAGTCGAGGAATTCACGAACGCTTGCCGAATCGGTTGGGGAATTTGACAGAATCATTCGAACGAACCGACTCATAAGAACGATTCGTTCGAGAAACGGTTTAACGGTCCTCGCGATGTTTTCTCCGCAGTCGGGATAAGGCACAGGCTAAAATATGGATCATTTTAGCAATTTTCCTGCGATTCCTCACAGAGGCTGTGAAAACCGGGATATTTGAATCAGTCCGAACCGTGTTTGCGCAGAATGGATGCGCTGAGTTTCTCCGTGACGATCTTCTGGTTTGTGCTCATCGGTGAGAACAGAATGAGCAGGTGAGAAGAATACGCGTGTCATTCACCTCAGGATGAAGATGAGGATGATGAGGATGCACACATATTCATACATATACATATCTGAGTACAGAGCGCAGTTTGATTGATTCTCAAAATATTGCTCATCTTTATCAAATGGCTTTACGCAGTGAATAAACGCATGATCTGTGAACATCCATGTTTTCAGACATGGATTAAGTTGATATTTCCAGTTGCATCTTATAGCCTACGCCTCCAACATGAAACAGAAATGAATAAATATTGTTAAATGACAAGCTTAATGTTAAACATGTAAAACAAATGTAAGCTGATCAAGTCATCATTCTCGTGGATATCATATTGAGTAATAGGATAGGTATTGTATCTGTAGAACGCGTGCTTATCATATTCACAATACAGCCTACTTAAATATTATACCTCAATATTCTCGTTGTTGCTTGGAAATGGGGCATTTTTTCACGTGCGCGTATTTTGCTTTATACAATCGATATATTAATTACGGTATAGCCTAATAGATCGTCGTGGTGGTTATGTATGGTAGCTATGTAGTTATATATAAATAATATGCTATCATAAACATTGCTCTTTTTCTCACAGATTAAAATGTGCATGCGTTTATTTGTATATGCACACACACACAAAGTCTCTGCTTTTGGTTGTTGTGTAGTTCACGTGGAAACATCATGTCAACACATTACAGGGTCTTTTGCCCCCTTGTGTACAGTTCACTTATTACTTATGAGGGGGGGATCATGACTAGTTCACATCTTAAAATCAAAAATAATACACTGACATAATGTTATTATAGGACTATCCCATTCCCAACAAACATGTTGCTATTTTTTAAGATTATGTTTAAGTTTTTAATAAGCAGTAAGGCAGATTGTTTTTGTTTTTTCACGTTAGCCTATATATTTGTATCATTATACATTTTATCAATATGCTGCGACTCAAAAAAAAAAAAAAACATACAATACACCAAAAATGTAATATAAAATGTTCATTACAAATAATGGGGATAATGCTTTTCTATGAATAACTAAAGGCTTAGAGAGCCCTTTTGTTTCACTTCACAGGGTTTCACATATATTTTTATACATAAGTTAACGGTGAATATGCTGCTAATAAGTGCAAATATTGCGCTGCAATGACAGCTTTATGTTGTCAGTGCTGGTAATTATTATTATCTCCATATACATTGCTGTTTCTCATCCAAGAAATAATAATAAAAGCACACAATAAGACTTACACAATAATAATAATAGAATTGAATTTGTAGCTATTTTTAGGATATTTGATCAAATTACAGCATATTTTTCATGTTTTGCACAATAAAAATATAAATACCTTTTTACAGCTTGTAGTATAACATGCTTCTTTATCTTTTTTGCTACTTTTTCTGACAATATAAATCTTTCCTATTTTGATCAATTTAACACATCCTTGCTGAATAAAAGTATTATGAATAGAAAAGAAAAAAAGACTGACCGGTAGTGTATATTGTTACAAAATTTTATGTTTCTTTTTATCCATCACAGAATCCTGAAAAAGTATCACAGGTTATAAAAAAATATGAAGCAGCACAACTGATTTCAACATTAATAATAATCATAAATGTTTCTTGAGCATCAGATCATCATATTAGAGTGATTTCTGAAGGATCATGTGACACTGAAGACTGGAGTAATGATGCTGAAAATTCAGCTTTGATCACAGGAATAAATTACACTTTAGGGGGAGAGCGGGGTTGGTTGACACACTTTTCACTCTCTGTCATATTTCTCAGTCATGCTATATGTTAAAATAGTCTAACCAGTAACAACTGAAAGGTTAAGATCTCAGCTACTCAACAGGTACATTTAATGTTCACAAATTATTCCTAAAAAAAAATTATTCATCATTAAAGTGATGTTGTGCACTTGTGCCAACCAGCCCCAGTATGGGGGTTAGTTGGCACATGCAATGGGGTTGGTTGGCACAGATGCTATAGTTACAAAGAATGAGGTGACAAATATAAAAAGAACTTGACCTTTTAATTCAAACCAGATGCAGAATAACATTCAAAAGAATTTCTGCCCATTTTTAACCAAACCAAAAACAAATACAGTTTGTATAGTATACAGGTGCTAGTCATATAATTAGAATATCATCAAAAAGTTGATTTATTTCAGTAATTCCATTCAAAAAGTGAAATTTGGATATTATATTCATTCATTACACACAGACTGATATATTTCAAGTGTACATTCCTTTTCATTTTGATGATTATAACTGACAACTAATGAAAACCCCAAAATCTGTATCTCAGAAAATTAGAATATTGTGAAAAGGTTCAATATTGAAGACACCTGGAGCCACACTCTAATCAGCTAATTAACTCAAAACACCTGAAAGGGCCTTTAAATGGTCTCTCAGTCTAGTTCTGTAGGCTACACCAGACCCAACAATGCAGAAGAGCTGAAGGCCACTATCAGAGCAACCTGGGCTCTCATAACACCTGAGCAGAGCCACAGACTGATCGACTCTATGCCACGCCATATTGATGCAGTAATTCAGGCAAAAGGAGCCCCAACTAAGTATTGAGTGCTGTACATGCTCATACTTTTCATGTTCATGCTTTTCAGTTGGCCAACATCTCTAAAAATCTTTTTTTTTGTATTGGTCTCAAATAATATTCTAATTTTCTGAGATACTGAATTTGGGATTTTCATTAGTTGTCAGTTTTAATCATCACAATTAAATGAAATAAACATTTGAAATATATCAGTCTGTGTGTAATGAATGAATATAATATCCAAGTTTCACTTTTTGAATGGAATTACTGAAATAAATCAACTTTTTGATGATATTCTAATTATATGACCAGCACCTGTATTTATAAATATACAACATATAATAGTATTATTATTATATAAAGTCTTTATATATATATATATATATATATATATATATATATATATATATATATATATATATATATATATATATATAATGTTTTAACATATGTAAAATGCATAAATTAATACATTTATAACCAATTGGCTATAATGACACATGTGCCAACCAACCCCCAAATCAGTGTGTCAACCAACCCCACCCACATTAGGACACACCTCTTTACTGAAATTATGTTAGCCACATAGCATCACTCATCAGAGACTTTTAAATTTCATATCAAAATATAGCTGATCCTATCTATATCAACTGAAATCCTTTCATTTTATATTATCTATCTATCATAGTTCTAAAATGTATTTAGTGGGGAGAAGGTTTTTTTTTGTTTTAACACAGTAAAATAGAAAAGTTATCCTCACCTCAACAGTTGGTGAAAGTTTAATTTTAGTAAATAGGTGTGTTCAGGTCAAGAGGGCAGTCATTTTAATGTCAGATTTTTGTGGCAGCGCCCTCTGGTGTACTGGAATTGAACTGTGTGCCAACCAACCCTTGACCCAACCAGCCCCGCTCTCCCCAAAATGTAATAACATTTCACAATATTACTGTTTTTCCCCCCGTTTTTTGATCAAATAATTAAAAATAGTAATGTTTCCAAACTTTTGACTGGTATTAAATCTTCAATATTGAGTACTTTTGTAGCTTATCTATCTATATTTTAGTGTTGGGCAAGCATATTATGTTCTTTGTTTACTTATATATCTTTTTTTCATTGAGAAGTATAGAAATGAAAGAAATGAATACTTTTATTCAGCAAGCATGCATTAAATTGGTCAAAAGTGACAGTAAAGACATTTGTAATGTTGCAAGAGCTTTCTGTTTCAGATAAATGCTGTTCTTTTGAACTTTCTGTTCATCAAAGAATCCTGAAATAATTAAAAATGTACACGACTGTGTTCAAGGGAAAGTGAGGAACATTTGTTTGTTTGGTCCCTGTAGGGCCATGCTGAGTGATATCGGTGAATATGTCGGCTCAGACATTGAAATATCCTGGTTGCCTAATCTGGATGATTTAATGAAAGGTTACGCTCGCAACTTTCGCCCAGGGATCGGAGGTGAGTTTGCCGTCTACAGATCATCATGTTGGATTGCACTATAGCTCAACCCATTCTTAGCATCAATATTAAAGTCCCCTGTGGTGAAAATCCAGCTTTTAATGTTGTTTATGTGTCTATGTGGTGTTTTTAATATGCTTTAAGACACACCATGTGTAAGTTCATAAGTAGACAGCATTGCTGAGTATTTCCTGCTTAAAACTGCAGTGAACCAAAGACAGTCTCAAAAACACGGTTTGAAATCGCTGGTGTTTCTGACATTACAAACGACCTTGTAACCAATCAGGAGTGTGTTTCCCGTACAACGCCGTAACTCGCTGCTTCACTATCACAGTACGATGCATCGTTGAAGAAATCAACTAGCTAGTCACGACTGTTTCCCGAAACCGTATTGTCGCAAAGTGGTCATTCAACCGCGTTAGTAATGATGTCACGCAGGAGACGGAGTAATAACTACTTTTAATGAAACTCTTTGAGATCGAATTAATGCTAGATGTTTTGCTGTAAATTACAGACGTTGTTTCAGACATCTCACACATTACAGACAATTCTCATTTTTCTCAGTTATTTTGAATTATCTCCAGATTTAATCATTGGCTCGTTCTTACGTTCACACGTGCACTCTTAAAAAACGATACGCTTTAAACTCTTGACAAACTAAAAAACTCAAATTGCATTTGTATGTATTCTAAATAAAAGACACAGGTTGCACTGAATGTCAGCTTGCTTATTTTGCTCAAGATAAGGATTTATTGAGTCCACATGTCATGAAAACTAGAAACTGCTTCTAACCGCAGCTCGAGATCTGGCGCTCACACACAACTCTGCGACGCTGTTTGCGAATGTTCGTAACCCTAATCCTAACCATTCCCCTTCAATAAAATTACACAATTGCTGTATACACTTTCAAAAAATAACGGTTACAAAAGTGCGTTTTCACAGCAATGCAATACAATCATTTTTAGTTCCCCAGCATCTTTCAGAGCACACATTTATCTTCATGCGAAGAACATTTTCATAATCTAAAGAACTTTTTTCACTATAAAGAACCTTTTTCATGGATGTTAAAGGTTCTTCATGGATGATGCCAATAAAGAACCCATATTTTTACACTTTTTGGCTTCAAATTAGACCAATCTACCTTTTTACAGGTGAAACTCGAAAAATTAGAATATGGTGCAAAAGTTCATTTATTTCAGTAGGCCTAATTCAACTTAAAAGGTGAAACTAATATATTATATCAGGTGGCGTAGGAGCCATATTATACGGGGACATGTCCCCCCCACATTTCAAAATCGAAGTTTTGTCCCCCCCACTATTTCCCAATGTAAGATTTTGTTTTGCATTGCCTGCCTATCTCTGCCGATTTCGGAGTCTCCAAATGAATCCATTCGGCAACTTTTAAATACATAATTCAATTTTAAAAAACGGCCGAATTCTTCAGCTGCTAATCTCGTTGTCAGTCGACCATGATCGCGCACCGCTCGCGCATGCGCATCTAGGTGACACGGATAAATGTACTCAGCGATATATAATGAGTGTTATATAATGGGAGATCCTAGTTGCGCGGGATGTGGAAGCGTGCAAAAGTTCCAGAAATGTACATAAAGTGCCCTGGCCTTGAATGACAAGGTAAGGAAAATAAGACTAAATCTAAATTAAATAACCAAGACTAGGTTGGCCATGTGATTTTTCTCAGGAGATGTTTCGAGCATTTTACTTCAGACACCGGATTATCAGCAAACTTCCAAGAGAACTGCTAGCTGGCTACTCAAAATAAACTAGCAATCTATTCAGGCAGCATATTTGTGTTTGATCTGTGTGAATTACAGAAATATAAGACTTGCTAGACCTACTTTTAGCTACCAAGGAACCTTTCCACAAGGATAGATTAATGGAAATTAAATCAACCATTTATTTGAGTTTTTAATTTTTATTACATGACTGATTAACAGTAATGTAAATGCTAAATGTCCTAATACCTGTTGATACTTCAACAATGCAAAGTATATGCTCTTAACCTTGCAGTTTTTCACATATCATGTAAGACTCATTTTCTCAATTTCTTTGCACAAAACTCTCCAGAAAGTGCCATTTAACGGTTTATTTTTCAAAAAAAATTCCCGGGGGAGCATACCCCCGGACCCCCCCAGGGAGAGCCCACATAATAAATCACAATTTAATCACTGCTTAGAAACAAACTAAGTAATACAGTCTGTTCCCATAAGTCTTTAGAAATTAGCATTTAAGTGCCTTATATATAAAAAAAAAAAAAAAAAAAAAAAAAAAAAAAAAATCGGGACATCCCATCCCCCCCCCCCAGCATTTACTGTCCCCCCCAGGTTCAAAAATGCTCCTACGCCCCTGTATTATATAGACTCATTACATGCAAAGTGAGATATTTCAAGCCTTTATTTGTTATAATTGTGATGATTATGGCTTACAGCTTATGAAAACCCCACATTCAAAATTAGAATATTGTGAAAAGGTTTGTAAGCCATAATCATCACAATTATCACAAATAAAGGCTTAAAATATCTCACTTTGCATGTAATGAGTCTATATAATATATTAGTTTTACCTTTTAAGTTGAATTACTGAAACAAATGAACTTTTGGCCGATATTCTAATTTTTCGAGTTTACATAACTGACTTTAATGACCAGTCTTCTTGAAGACTAAAGACTAACTTTTAAGACTAGTGTAAGCGGTTTCTGCAGACGGCCTCAGATGAGCTCTGCCATCTGTGATACTGCACCGGTTCTCGACTACAGTCTCTCTCAAAGACCTGGATCAGGTGTGTGAAGAGCAGGACCGCGGCTGAGAACCACTGATCTATTTAATAACACCAGTATGCCTTTTCACTAAAAATAGACTGTAGGAAGTAGGGCGCTGTTTTGGCAGGAACACTTTAGCGTGAGGTTTTGTTCTGCAGAGAGAAAAAAGGCTTAAAGTCCCCCTGTAGTCAGTAATTATATCGCTTAAAACTCATCTTTGATCACCAAAATGACATATTTAAACTAGGGCTGTCAAACGATTAATCGCGATTAATCGCATCCAAAATAAAAGTTTGTGTTTACATATGTGTGTGTACTGTGTATAATTATTTTTAATACATAAATACCCACACATGCATGTGTATTTAAGAAATATTTGCATGCATATACTGTATATAGACTGAATGTAGCCTATATATAATGTATTTTATTTGGAATGAGACATTTGTACCACTCATTCCTGAGACATTTCAAATGATACCAAACATAATACTCAATGATAATCATTCACATCAAACCATACATATATTCTTATGTGAGTTTCAGCTGTTACTGGGTGAAATGTAAATCAGGTGAGACTGCGTGAGGGGAGGTCGAATGCTATTTCAGCAAGTTCCTTTGTTTCAATAGACCATGTGGTCAAGACAGTGTCTCCAACCAGTTCTTACAAGGCCAAATGTTCATTTGCCAAGGTCCTTTGTCTCAATAGACCATGTGGTCAGATATTGTCTCTTCAACAAGTTTTGTGGTCAGATATTTTCTCTTCAACAAGTTTTACGGTCTTACAGATTTCCCTCCTTGACCCCGTGGGTCAAATTCAAATGAAAACTTACGGGGTCACGCGGTAAGACGTTTGTTGTAATCCTTGAGATGTAACTCAAAATTGTCTTTGCAATGTCAGCATCTGTAGAAGCTCAGAGGGCTGTGTTCCCCTGCATCATTAAGTATACGTTAATGTTTGACTATTCGTTTTAACTCCAATGAAAATAAAGTCAAAGTCTGTTAGAATAATCAAATATAACAATTTATTATGTCAGGTAAATGTATTTTAACAATTCCATAATCAATTGAAAGATAATCAATGCAAATCATCAAATGTTTTAGGATTAGAGAAATAGATGCGAACCCAACATGAACTACATGAGCTAAACCTCACGGGCTGATCTGAAATACAGAAAAAGCCACGATCCCTTGCTGCCTTCCATTAAATAGCCAGACCTCATTTCATATGTAAACCTGTATTCACAGTGGAAATGTACTGTGTTCATCCCCCCAGACTTACTGGGGGCAGAAGTAAATTTACATGGTAACATTTGCTAACAGTGGAAATTAGCATTGAGTTCACACCTTGGGAGTAGGAGACCACATTCATTTGTGTGCCGGATATCCCTAAACTCTTAAAAAACCTTATTACCTTTTGTTTTATACTTTGGGAATGAGACATTTGTACCACTCATTCCTGAGACATTTCAAATGATACCAAACATAATGCTCAATGATAATCATTCACATCAAACCATATATATATTCTCATGTGAGTTTCAGCTGTTACTGGGTGAAATGTAAATCAGGTGAGACTGCGTGAGGGGGAGGTCGAATGCTATTTCAGCAAGTTCCTTTGTTTCAATAGACCATGTGGTCAAGACAGTGTCTCCAACCAGTTCTTACAAGGCCAAATGTTCATTTCCAGCTTCAACCAGTTTCCCAGTCTTACAGTTCCCTCCTTGACCCCGTGGGTCAAATTCGAATGAAAACTTACGGGGTCACGCGGTAAGACGTTTGTTGTAATCCTTGAGATGTAACTCAAAATTGTCTTTGCAATGTCAGCATCTGTAGAAGCTCAGAGGGCTGTGTTCCCCTGCAGAACACCTGTTCTCACCAGGTGTATGTAGCATGAGTCCAGCAGGTGGATGAGGCGTTCAGGCTTTCTGCCAGTGATCCTGTGATGTGAGCAAAGTTCATAGAGTCAATCTGGACCTTTTGACTTGTTCAGTTGATGTGTCATTCCTTCATGGAGAAACTTCCGCTTCCCTGGCACCTTCCCCATAACGATAATCTGTCCCTTCTTGACCAATCCTGTCACCTCCCAACGGTGCGGTTGTCTGGACAGACCTCAGTGGATGAAGGTGTTCTCCTTGGCTTCACACTGCCTTGTGTGAGACACCTGAAAAGCATCTTAAATGTCCGCTTCACGATTGAACACATATGAACCTGAACTCGCGAA